GAGAAAACCTATTTTTGAAAAACTTATGTTTAATTTCGGGGACGGAATTCTTTAAGGGGGGGAGGTTATAGCGATCCCGGTTGCCCCTTTACTGTTCTGTTGTAGTCCGGACTCGGTTCCGTGAAGTTGGTAGTGGTATCTATCTTGTTGTCTTCCTTTAATTCCACTTGATTGAGTTTTAGGATGTTTTGAGGAGGGTTGTTACAGGTTGGTTAGGCCTTGGTTTCAATTCCTTGTTGTTCAATTTTTAGGCGATCCGCTCGAGCGGGTCTTCTTGCGCTCAAGCGGGTATTGCACACCTCCAGTATTTCGGGTTCCTGCAAAACTTTTGCAGATGTTTGTGTTCTCCGCTCGAGCGGGTCATGCGTATATGAGTTATCCGCTGGGTCATTTTAAATCACTTTTTCACTTTTCTTCTCTCTCTTACTTTTCCAAAAACACCATTGTTGAGCTTCTCACTCTAGAACTCTACCTTCTCTCTAGGTATTGATCTAGTAGGAGTGATTTCCTCACCTTTGGCCTTTACAAAAGAGTTCTTGATCGTCGAGGGCTATCTTTTGATCCGAGAAACTCGTGATTTGGGGCAAGTTCATTTTCATCATCTTCTCCGTTGGTTGTCATCCTTTGAGCTAGGGATTCCTACTCACTCTTATGGTCTTTGACCTAGATTTTTAGTTGTTTTGATAGAGTGTTGAACTTGGGAAATTTTGGGACTTAGGGTTTCAAAATGTGTAAAAAGGGTTGTGCGATTTTGGGCTCATAACTTGTATTTTTGGATTCCAAAGTGATGATATAGTTGTTGGTTGTTGATATTAGGCCATTGGGTCAATATTGGGAAAGGGGGTAGAAAACCCTAATTTGTGGTGTAAATTAATTGGCATAATTAATTTGGGAAAAATTGTGAACTTATGGAATTGTGTTGGAAATAATGAAATTGGCTCACTATGTTGTGAAATGATGGAGTTGGATTTATAAATCGCTCGCTTTTGAAAGCATCGATATTTTATCTGGTGGAACTTTTATTATCTGTTTAGAAATAATTGCTTGGGCTACTGGTAGAGGGTAGTTTTGATTGTTGTAGACAATGCATGATGATTAGGCAAACTAAAACTAATCTCATAGAGTATGACGGTTGATAGAATAATGAAATTGGCTCACTATGTTGTGAAATGATGGAGTTGGATTTATAAATCGCTAGCTTTTGAAAGCATCGATGTTTTATCTGTTGGAGCTTTTATTATCTGTTTAGAAATAATTGCTTGGGCTACCGGTGGAGGGTAGTTTTGATTGTTGTAGACAATGCATGATGATTAGGCAAACTAAAACTAATCAATTGGACATAGAGTATGACGGTTGATAGAATACAATAATGTTATGTATTGATTGATTGTGTATATGACCTTTGTGTATATATGCATTGTGTGTGTAGGAGGAGATAGGGGATGTACTCCACGGTTTAGGGGAAGATAGGGGATGGACCTCTAAACCGGATGTTGTTTGGGAGGAGATAGGGGATGGACTCCACTGATACAGCTCATATGCTTGTCAGATAATGTGTTGATACAGCTCATATGCTTGTCATTGGAAGTGTTGATATAGCTAATATGCATATCTGTTGAAATATGGATATAGCTTGTATGCTTATCTGTTGAGATATTGATATAACCTGTGTGTTTATCTATTGTAAAAATGGAAGATGTTTAATATGAGTCTTTGTCTCATATAAGTGGTTGGCCAGGTCCTGAGCCATTGATGGAAATTGTGAAATTGATAAGAAATGGAAATGGATTATGAATTGGTTTATGAAAATTGAACATTTATCAATTGCTAATGTCTTAGTCATTGCTCATACTGTGTTTCGCATATCTTTACTGGGCTGTGGCTCACCCTATATGGGAATATCATTTTCAGGTACAGGTAGCATGCCACCTCCAAGGACGTAGCTTGGGAGGCTAGAGGCGAGCAGACTTTTGTTGTTTAGTTTCTTGATGTATTACATGTATATTCAAGCCAAGGGCTTAATGTGTAAATGAGTTAGTACTCTTTTGTTGTAACCAAGTGTTAACTTGGAAAGCTGTAAGCCCGTAGGGCATTTGCTTTTGTCGTTAACATGTAATACTTTTTGGTAATGGAACTCTGATGAATAGAAGAATGTGGAGCTTTTATATATCAATGCATGTCTATGTTGTTGGGTTTAATGTTTTTTTTTTTGAGGGCGTTACAGTGATGATCTTTTTCAAACATTCTAGGCCCTGCTACATCAAACATCGACACTGCATCAGAAATCTCTTTTAAATCATCTTCTGTAAGCTTCACTCTCACGGCACCAATGTTCTCATCAAGGTTTTTAATCTTAGTTGTTCCTGCAAATGTACAATCAGAGGTCAAATACTAACTTTACCATTCGAAATACAACATTTAGGAGCACATTTGGAAAGTTTTGGGTTTCTTTTCAAAACCTGTTTTTGGAAAAATACTGAAAACTAGTGTGGTGAAATAAATACCAAAAATCAATAAGGATTCTCTCTCTCTCTCTCTCTCACATCCATTTATTTCATTTCCTTCCTCGTTACATTGTTTTGCTGCAAGTTACAGAACACTTGTAGAACAAAAATCAAGCCCGATTTCTAAAATCTAACAATAAACATTTCAACAATAACATTAATTTAATCTTTCAATCTACCATTTTCCCTTCGTAGTTGTTTGATTTCAAGAACTCAATACAAGAAGAGATCCCATGGTTCTTGAGCTGGTTTTGTTTTAACTTCCTAGAATTCTTAAATTGATTAACTTTGTCTTGATTGTATAAACATCCACTACACAAATTATTAAAACATTCTAAAATCCAAATATTATTAAAAAAATTCACGAGTTTTCAGAAAAACTAATCAAAAGTAATCATTCAATAGAAATCATGTTTAATTTAATTCAAAAGCAAAAAATCATATTTCGGCAAGGTTTACGTTGAATTGTAAGAAAGACCACAATCTCCTACTTATCAAACTTGTAGCATTTTTGACATAGCTTTTCTCACATTTACTTCATTACCAAGAAATCAAAATTTTGTGAGTCACTCACCAGGTATAGGTACCATATCATCCCTTTGATGAAGAATCCATGCAAGTGCGAGTTGAACAGGGGTGCAACTATGCTTCTTAGCCAACTCTTTTATTCGAAGATAAAATATCCTGTTGTGCTCTAAATTCTGCCTGGTAAACCTAGGATGTGATTGCTGATAGAAAGATTAAGTTAGTCATTCATTCATATAATTATTTGACTAACCAAAACGAGGAAATATTAGAATGAATTTGCACTCCATTTGTTTCAGCAAAAAATATGTTCCTCCATTTGGTTGCGACCTTGGGACTAATGTACTACTAGTTACTGTATTAGTGATGGCATTGGTGGTTGTGGTAGGGACGTGGAGGTGGGGGTGGTAGTGCGGTGGTGTTACTAAGACCTTTGTTTAGAAAACGTTTTCTACCTTCCAAAAACTTTAAAAATAATAATAATAATTCTACTTAAATAAGTTTGTTTTTTGTTGACCACAAAAAATGTTTTCTGTTGACTTTCCCTTTCTGCCGAAACAAACAAAACATTAGTTCAAAAAGATGATTTTTATCTGACAATAATTAAATTGAAAGAAAATAAAAGATAAAAAATCCAGTTCAATACCATGAAGCTATTTGTAGAGATGGTCTCCACAACTGCCTTGCCACCAAAAAACCCATGAGCAGTGAGGGAATATGGAACTATTGCAATTCCAAGTTCCCTGATAACCAACACATGTTTTAGACAAAAATAAGGTCAAAGGAGAAAACAAAGAAATTGGAAGTCTTATCAAAAATAATAAAAATGGCTACAAGTTTAAGATGGAAATTCCAATAAAGAAAAAATCACAAAAAATGATTACAAGAATTTGGAGTTCAAACTGAAAGTAAGGTGTCTTCTTATGATAAACATCTTTCTATAAGCAAAAAAGGGTGATCCAAAGCATGGGGCTCCCATTAAAGCGGTGCTTTTGAGGATTATGTTAATGAAGAGTAACAATTGGGCAGGAATCTCCAACATTTTGGATAAAATGCAAGTAAATTTTGGAAGCAAAATGAAGCACCTGCAAATCGGGATTATTTCTTCTTCAATGTCATGAGTCAAAAGGGAATACTCAATTTGTAAAGCAATTATAGGATGAACAGCATGTGCCCTCCTTATTGTGTTTGGGCTTGCTTCTGATGAACCAATGTATTTGATTTTACCCTCTTTCGCCAATTCCTTAACTTCCCCCATCTACCATTCATGAAGAAAATTCAGCATCAATCAGTAAATATTTCGAGCATCACTTACATTTGAGGAAAGTATTCCAACTAATTCGAAATGAGTGGCTACTAAGGTACCATTCCTCTCACGAGAAAGAACAAAAAGAGAATCAATAAGACAGTGGGCAGTTTTGTCCAAAAAAAAAAAGGTTAAATTTTAGGGTCATCTTGTATATACAAACCTAAAATGTACAAAAATATTGACTAAAAATTGAAAAACTCACTAAAAACAAAGCCAGCTTAAAGTTGGGAGCCAAAAGAACAGGACTTGAGGGTGTGTTGATAAATGGAAAAAAGAAACAAGTCACTTACAGTCTCCTCTATAGGGACTAATGTGTCAATCTGATGTACATAGTTCAATGTAGTCGACACCAAGGCGCTTCAGGCTAGCCTCACAACAGGAGCGCACATATTCAACACTTCCATTCACCACAATTTGAGTAGGGTCAAGTTTGACTATTCCAAATTTTGTAGCTAATTGGATCTTTTCTCAAGGCAACTGCTTTAATGCTTGCAAGTTTTAGGATCTACAAGTAAAATAACTAACACACAAAATACCCAAAAATAGATTCATTTTTTCTTTGAAAACAGCCAACAAAAAGATAATTTTCTAGACAACATCCACTGCATGTATCATATTCTACATATTTACACTCCATTCGTTTCTACGGATTAGAAAATATTTTCATTCATATGTTTGATTACGACTTTGAAACTAATGTGTCAATGGTTGTAGTTGTGGTAGTGGTGGTGGGGCAGCAGCTGTGACTGGCAGTGGTGGTGGTAGTGGTGGCGGTGATAGTGGTGGTTGTGGTAGTGAGGTGGCATTAGTAAGACTTTAGTCCAGAAAACGTTTTTTACATTTCAAAAGTATAAAATGTTTTTCTCCCCAAAAAAAGATTTGTTGTCAGATATAGTCCAGAAAACACTATGGGCAACATAAAAAATAGGAACAGAAACAAAAAAGAATAAATGAAGGCAGAGAAAGTGTGATTAGAAAACTTGACTTGGAATATATGACAACATAGTGCCAATGGTCCTTTGTCCCAATGTAGAGCAGAGAAGAACTCATGTTTCAGGAATTCTCAAAACAAACAATTTCAACAAAATCTTTCATTTTCTTAAAACTTATCAAGTTCAAATTCTTTATATTTCTCTATTAATGGAATATGTTGAATGTAATAAATGGCTATAACCAAATTTCATAGCAAGCCCAAAATGCTCAGGTACCATATGAATGAAAGCATTACCTTTCCCACTAATATTTCATTAGCGTTGTCAGCCTCATAAATATCTAATGTATCAATGAAAGTGATTCCTTTGCTGAATGCATACTTGATTATTGCAATGCCATCTTCTTTAGGGACGAGAGAATTGTACATACTAGTAAGCCCCATACAGCCGTAACCCAATTTTGTGTGCTGGAAAAAAAAAATTAAAAATTAATGAGAAAGACACGTTGTCCATTTGCTATTGTAGTCCATTTTTGTTGATGAATCAAAGCTTTACAAGTAGTATTTCAGCAGTACAAATTAGCTCAACTAATAAAATTCTTTGTATAGAACTTGAAAACTACAGGATGGACAAAGCCCCAGTGTATATAACCCAGCCAAAAAAATATTTAAATAAATCAATAAAACTAATTTTTCAAGACTGAAGAGGATTAAAAGCCTGATTTGAAGCCACTACTAAGATTGAAATCCAATCTGAACATTTTCTGAAAATCCATCACTCTTTTCTTTTTCTTTTTTCAAGAACATGTAGAGACATGGAACAACTGTATAGCTCTTATTTATTTTTTCTATGAAATACAAGTCCATATATATAGACTATCATACAGAGTTTATTCTAGACAATCCCTGCAATCACTTTTCTTTACAACTCATGCCACATGCACTCTTGCTTTACAATTCATGCCACATGCACAC